ATCGCAGTTATGTTTTTCCCACTAAAGGATTTATTTTAACTGACATGACGGAATAATATCAACCTCTGTCTACACCCTAGCTGCTACCTCATTAGATGGAACACAGGGTGCGAAAGTTGATGTTTTCCTGCAAAAGGTTCAGGACAGGTAGAAAACAAGGTTGAGAGTTTTAAGGAACCAAGGAGCCGCGGATTTAAAAGGAGGCCGCTCAAGGTATTAGGCGCCATTCAGAGGATCTTTTTCCGCTGTATCAGATAAGGTAAATTACCCTCTCCGCATCCCTTTTTTGGGGCTCTTTTACACCTTTGAGCGAGTGACAGCCGCATTATTAGGTTTGTTTAAAGGTGTCGTCTTTGTTTTGTTTCGCGGGAGGGGTAGATGTGTTAGAGATTAAAGGTATCGCTCAGTTAGCCGTTCGCTGGATGCTCAAAAAGAAAGAATGCTGAGCCTTGATCAGCTGGTTGAGTGTTATTCTCAGATTAGCACCTGTGGAGACTGTGCTACACGACTAAGAACAAAGGCTTTCCACCATAAATGGGCTGAGAAGAGATTTCGGTGCGTGATAGGCCAGTGCCTTTATGCTTTTTTCCAATTTTATATTGAATTTGAGTCAATCATAATGTTATTCAGGCGCATGATAAACCCGAATAACTCGACGACTAACTTCGCACATTCCGAAATGTTAGCAAAGAGGTGCTAATTGGACGGCACAGGATAACATGGACAACAAACATTTTAACCACCGAAAAGAGAATTATTGATGAAAATATCGTTGCTTACTAAGAATAAATTAATTCGATTTCGAGTACGAATATGTCGAAATATAGAGCTCTTAGGGCCCAAAACAGCAGGAAACCTTTGAAAACGAAAAATGTCACTGCCAATCTTCAGATCCCAATATCAAACCAGAATGGCTAAGAATGTTCACAAATGACCGTTTTTCCTCAAAAGTTAGTAAATTTTTACAAAAACTAAGTCAATACGTGCTTTACCGTAACAACTGGTCGTAACAATTGCATTAATGAATCACTGGATAATTTGAATGCATAGATTGGCTATCCTTTTGGGCCCTAACAACCCCATCATCTAACCTTAAAATTCTGCCGTGCTAAGGATAATCGCCGTAAGAGCCTTCAGGCGTTGCCAAATTTCCTTTGATAAAACACAAATTTCCTGGTGAACTTATTAATATTCCTTCCAATTTTTCAGATAATTTTGTTCGCAATTTCACCTAAAGTTCCTGAAAATTTCAAGGAAAAGTATTCATCACTTTCTTCAAAAATAAACACTTTATCGAAGGAAATTTGGCAACTCTCGAATGCTCATACGGTATTTTTCCTTAGCATGGCAGAGTTACCGACATGTCCGGACTCTCCTTATATATGTACTTTAGATTGGAGTGGAAAATGCAGCCATTTTTTGTGTTACATCATTTGTAAAATTAATCTCCAAGCACCAGCGCCAGTATCCAAATTTTGAGTCGTTTTGTTCGCCCCAAGGTCTCTTTCCCCGTAGTCTCGAATGAATAATGTTGGAAAGCTTTGGCTCAGTACTTTATTTTTTCCCTGCGATAATTAATAATTTGAGACAACGAGTACGCGTAATTTTTAATAAATCACCCAGAACAATAGCAATTACTGGTACAGAGAAGTGTATAACTGTTTCGAGGTAATCCTCCGCTGAATGAGCTTGAAATTGGAAACGTGTTATGTTCTCACTGATACCTGATGTATAGCGCTCGCTAAATACAGACAGGAAGAGTTTATAACGGAAGTGTCGGGTGGCACATTCGACTTTAGGGACAACTTGCCTCAACTCATTAACCGGTAAGAATCTATATTCGTCAAATTGGTATCCGTAAACTGAGACAACCGACACATACCTCTTACGGCGTAAGTCTGGAGACATGCGCGTGATTTTATAAATGTCCTCCTTCCATTTATTTGTAAAAAAGTAGGGCTAAAGGGCCTGTGAGGTGGAGATTCAATTTCCTCAGTTCAGTGGAGAGACAGAGTTGGGATAAAAATATGGATTTTCACTTTCCGATGCTGAACTTACTTCTTAAAAAGCTCCAATCAAAAATTTCAAGCCATAATATCCCTCATTAATGGTGTTTTAATTTTACAGCTGGCAACAGTGGCAGCAAAATTCATGTACTCTTTTCTCAAATTTGCGTGTTTTCAGCAGATGCACTCTGAAAAACTCCATTCCAACTTAGGTGGGATGCAGTGGAAACATTCAAATGTGTCCAAATTTTCCTCGATAAAATATTTAAATTCTAAAAAAGTTATGGATATTCTCTCCAAAAATTTTCAGGCGCAGTATCACAAATTGCGAATTATATCTTCTGAAAAAGTAGATGAAAAATCGCCACAAATTCGTGCTTTATCATAGCAAATTTGGCAACGTCTTGGCAACATTGCTCTAGTACGAAATAATGGTCGCGAATAACGTCGGGGAACTTTTCTCGAGTACACAGTTTAAGGAGTTCGAAGAAAAGTCGGGGTGAGACTTTCACACCTCAGCCACACAGTGTTATCAATTCGTGCTGAAATTTCAGGAAATTAGCTGAAATTGTGATCACTGAAATTAGAGACCTCGTGCCTCGATCGCGGTGTTCCAAAATTTCCGTTTCAGATATTACGTTAGACAACTTTAGGCCATTTTTGTAGAAACTATGTGGAATTTTGGATGATGCCGCTCACATGGTGCAAATTCGTGCTTCATTTTCGATTAAACGATTTGAGATCTTAATGAAATTTTATCCCTAAAAATCTGCATTTCCCCCATTTATCTGAAAAAATACGTTCGTACATGTGGTGTAGTCGTTTCTGCGAAGAATATCTCAATTCCATCCTTTCCAACTCTCATGCATCCTTTTAGCCCCGTTTGGCAACTCGGAATCCTACTCTCCCTTAAGGTCATTACCAACGGACTAAAGCAATAGTTCAACTCCAAGGTGACATTGCAGCGGTCTGAATATCACCCCTAGCGGCAGTATGAAAGCATTTTCCACGCGCTTTCAAAGGAATTTCCGCGCCAAGAATTCTCCGCCACGACTGCTTTTGTCTGAGCTTGCGATTATTCCAAAGCACATTGCAATCAGACAAACCTTTGTTGATATTTGTATCAACATAAATCAATAGGTAAATAAAAAATTTAACGATTGCCAAGGCGTTTTTAGTATTTCGGCAGGCCAAAAGCTTGGAGCGCTGCCAAATATCTCTCGGTGAAACATGAAATTCCCCCGAAAGTCTTTAGAAATTTGCGAAGTATTTTACTCGGAATTCAATCCATCATGTCTAAAACTTTCATCGTGGTACCCTCCCGCCTTCCTCAGAAATAAAAACGATATCAAAGAAAATTCAGGAACTGTCTGTACGGCTTTTTTCCTTATCACTTTAGTACATATTGCGGATGATGTCTTTGTCAGTTTTACTTGTTTATTCAGAGATATGAGGTCGTAGAAAATCAAAACTAGGGGTTTAAAATGTTACAACTCATCAAAAACACATTAAAAATAGTACTTTTGATATTTTTTCCTGAATTCTCTGAAATTAAAGCATTGAAATGCTTTGAAAAACTGAAGTCTGGGTGAAGTCTAAAGAGTTCCAAAGAGAGTTCCAGAGTCTAAAGAGAGAGAGACCAAGGCTCCCGGGGTGTTTAGAATAAGGCTCAAAGAGTACTTTAAACTTCAAATGTGCAGAATTTACACGTATTAATCTGGTCCAATTCACACTTAGTGATCACTTCATCGCATAATACTTAAACATGGTTCTCTTTTTACTTAAAAAATTCGCCTTTTTTGTCGCAGTTCATCCTGTCTCCTCAAATTTTCAATTTGAAAATAGAAATTTATTGATCTACCTTCGTGAAAAAAGAAGACCTTCGGTAATTTTCAATAAAATAATTTCAATTTTGAAAAATGAAAGAAGTTTTCAAGTTTAGAATGTCTGAGATGGGAAATTTAATGGAAAATAAAAATTCGAAATTTCAAGGATGAAATTTCACGAGAAATTTTGTGAAATTTTCCGGTGAAATCTCAAAACTTTGAAATTTCAAAAACTTATTAAAATTTCACGGAAAATTCCAAGTGAAAAATTACTTGAAGTTTCAAAGGCGATCTCAGTACTGCAATACTTTTTAGTTTCTTAAACTTTAAGGTGCAATAAGAGGACGAGACAACGTAGCTCCAGTCAAAGGTTACAAAACAGACTCAAGCTTTTCAATTTTTCAAAAGAATATGCCACGTAATTTCTATCAAGAACTCAGTTGATTTTCTCGCGCAATCAGAAAAAAAAATCAACGAAATTTTCAGTCAGAAATATGCCTAACGGTCACCCGGGAAAACTACAATCTCCGTGCGGAAAATTCGCAGCGTTGACAGGTAGTAACGCGCTTTCATTGGAGAAACGACGAGCTATGAGTTGCAGCATTTTAATTCAATTCCGTCTTCAACTTTTGCAAAAAAACACCTCGCCTTTTTTTCAATCAGAGTGGGTTATCTCCTCTCATCGTATTTTGTTCCTTTTTCCACGACAGTACATATACGCTGAAATTTAAGTTATACGTTGGATCCAGACTCTGAACAAATTTGACAAGAAAAATACCTTGATTCAATCAATTCTTGTATGAATCGTGAGTCAAGGCATTACTTTCAGCAGATTTCTATTTGATTCACACAACGACTGGAAATCAAGAGTATCAAGAGTTTTTTTTCCAGTCAAATATTTAAGAGTCTGGACCCTGGATCCAAGAGACTTTTTCCATGTACAAATGAAACAGAAAGTGTCGATCTTTCAGTGTGTGATTGAATCAGTTCTTGCTTAAATCGTGAGCCAAGACTCTTTTTTTCAGCGGATTTCTATTTGATTCACACAAGAATCTAATGGAATCAAGAGTATTTTTTCCTGTCACATTTTGAAGAGTCTGGACCCTGCATCCAAGAGACATTTTCCAGTGTACAAATGAAACAAAAAAGCGCCGATCTTTCCACTTACCGGGTAATATAGTTGCCTCATCGTGACGATATATCCAAACGTACTTTGATGTTACTCCTCAGGTGTAATTTCGATACTCATCCAGTACTTTACACGATCCAAGCACCAATCACTGATCACTACACTTCGATCAACACTAAAAACCGGCTTACTGTTCCATCACCAGGACCAATCCTTATCACTGCAGATAATAATTTAATCACCAACAAGTATCAGCTCTGAGAGTGAGAGCGCAGTAAGAAAACTAAGAATTTCGACAGATGAGTTTCCCTCGAAAAGGCGTTACATGTCATGGCACTAAATTTCGCATCGATAAATTTTCAAGCGCGAATAATCAATCCGCACATCGCGATCTCTCGCGTCTTTGGATCCGGGGGCAGGGGCCGAACATGCCGGGGAAACAAATACAAATACAAACGAACGGATAAACAAGACACGCACGTGAGTCGTGAGGTTGTTTGAGGAGCAGCGCGCGGTTTGGTGGGTTCGCTTCACCGGTGGAACGGTGGATGGTTAATGGAGCCCGGTGTCGCGTCGCTGCGGGAGGTGATGGCGGTGGCGGTGTCGGATTCGGAAGGGAGAAAAGTTCCTGGAGAAAAGATAAACCTCGGCCAACCGCGCTCCGCAGAGGTGAAACCGAGGACCAGCACTCTGCCGCGCTAAGGAAAAACGCCGTATGAGCGTCCAGGCGTTGCTATGTCTCCTTCCATAAAGAGCAAATTTACTGGGAAAATTTGGAATATTTTTCCTCCAATTTTTCAGGTAATTTTGTTCACGATTGGATCTAAAATATCTGAGAATTTCAAGGGAAAATATGCAGAACTCTCTTCAAAAGTACATGTTTTATTCGGGGAAATTCGGCAACTCTTGAAGGTTCATAAGGCGTTCTTCCTTAGTGTGGCAGCGCACCTTCTTCGCCGATTTTTACCTGGGCGGTCGAATCGGCGTGTTTTTGGCTCCTTCCCGCCAAAAAACGGGGTCTCGTGTGGGGATCGCCGTGAGGTGCTGTTCATTTGCTTTGGACCCAAAAAATAAAAAACATAATTTCTTTGAAAAATTTGTTTTGATTTTTTCACGCTTTTTTTCGCTTTTTCGGTGGCAAGTCATTTTTCTTAAAGCATGGTTTCCTACTACACGTCTTCCGTTTTCCAAATACTTTTTTCCACACATGCTTTTTGTCTCATCACAGTTCAGTCCACGTTTTCCGTACAGGAAAAGTTCGTTGCGTAATTTAGGAACGACCCCTTAGTCTTACGAGTGGAATGTCCTGCCGGTTTTTTCCTGGGAGGATTTGTATTGATTTCAATTTTTATAGAAATGGAGAAAAATATCAAAAAAATTAGATGAAAATAGTGGGGGGCTCGCAACAAATTTAGTTCCAAGGCTTGGTCGAAAAATTGTCTCCTTGCTCTACCGGGCCGATTTCAGCGATTTTTACAGCTGTCGACGAGTGATAGTCTCCTACTGAACCCTCTCTATTCAGATTTTGGAAAAATGACCCAAGTGTTTTTTATAATACTAATATAGTTTTCATCTTTCCCATATTCATAAAGTAAATGTTAAATTTTTCTCTTAGTTTGTCCTAAACATCTACTCGGCCAATTTTTTCGACAGAAGTGGCTATCGATATAAAACAATCCTTGAACGAGCCCGTTCTTTTTAGATTAACTCGCGGGGCCTCGCCGCCGCGGAGGGCGCGAAGCGCCGCTATTTGAGGGTTGAGCCGCGTAGCGGCAAGGAGCGTACCCTCTAGTCATATCACCTTAACCAAGGGTTAATGTTTTTCCAAATTAACCTGACTCATCCTCAAATCCTAGAGTGAGGCCGTCTATTTGACCCCATCGCTTTTTAATCTCTTTATTTTAAAGTGAAGCTCGAGTCAATTCATATTAATCAACAAAACAAGAAAAGACCCCTTAACCGTGTAATGTTGCAAGGAGGACCCAAATTGTATGATAATTTACTTACTTTGCATTGAGTCATGCCGTGGAAACATGATTTTCAGCTTAATTTGACTACCATGTGCTGTGATAGGCCGGAATTCGACGAGGATTGAGACGTAGGTATCAAAAACAACCTGCAACCGCGGGTTCTTTGTTTACTTTCTAGGGGTGCATAAAAAAATCGAGAAACCGCCCTAATTCTTTCCTCGGGGCTCGTCTAAAGGTAGGTATGCTTTTGAAAGGTTCGGATCATTAACGTGACGTCATCACGACTATCAATGTAAATATAAACTGAACTACGAATCCATATTAATTGGCTCCTTGTCTCGAGCATACCTGGCATAATTTTCATCGCCACCCCTACGTCAAAAACCTGTATCAGATGAAGGAATGTGGGTGAGTTATTTGAGATACTACTGGACGCACCCATCGGCACAGTGCCAGGTAGTTGGAGAACCTCCACCCTCCTTTGATAGAATGCATTTCAAGACAAAATAACCATTAAAACATCACAAGATATCGAGTAGCGTATCCCTATTGCAAGGTTTCAAAATCTTCGATTATTTTTTATTTTTTAGAAACAACACAAAGTAGAATATTTCTTTGGCATTCTCTGTAAATGTTATTGATTACCGTGTGAAGAAAATGTACGAGCAATCATAAGAGAAACGGTCGATTAATTTTTTCTAAAAAAAAAAAAAAAAAAAAAAAAAAAAAAAAAAAAAAAAAAATCAATTCGCGAGGATTAGTCAGCAACGTCGGAATCAAAAGATACCCATTTTTGGAATTTAGTCATCGACATGTTAATTTCCGCGTTGAAATTGCACTTTGGATCCACTTTCGTTATACACGTTGAATAAACTTTTAATTACCAGGAATTATTGTTTACAGTGAGAATACATTTTTCCATGTAGAAATACGAATTCTCGCTTATCCACAAAAGCAAAGGGAAACTTATGGAAAATATGTTGTTCCTAAAATAAGCTCGAAATTGTAGTCGCTAATTGCAAACTGCAGTCCAGCTGCTCATATTAAAAGCAGCTAATTAAAATTTCCTATTTGCGAAAATATCACGAATTAACGAGTCAAGTTTTTACCCTTAGAATTAAGTCGTAAGTCGCGCAAAGAACTTGAGTTTGATTTCGTAAAAATCTCCCTTTTTTTTGATACACAATCTGGAATAATCAAGAATAATTTAGCGTGCTTAAATTTTTGCGCGGTTCGACAAAAGAAGTACATCTCGGATTATTAGTGAACGGGAATTTTTGCTCGACGAATACAAAATACGTTTATATCTCACTCATATATTGCCGTGCTAAGGAAAAACGCCGTATGAGCCTTCAGGCGTTGCCAAATTTCCTTTGATACAACACGAATTTCCCAGTAAACTTATGAATATTTTCCTTCCAATTTTTTAGACAATTTTGCTCGCAATTTCATCGAAAGTTTCTGAAAATGTCAAAGAAAATTATTCATGACACTCCTCAAAAATAAACATTTCATCAAGGAAAATTTGGTAACTCTCGAATGTTCATACTTCCTTAGCACGGCAGTATAAGCCGACCACGCTTTTGCGATGGACCATTACACAAGGAGAGAATTTAAGCACCGTGATTTATGTTTTCTCATCTACATGTTTCGTAGAACACTATTTGTGTAACACTTACGGAAATTTAATCTGCCCATAGAAAAAACAATAGTCTCTTGGACTCAATCAAAGTGCACATTAAAAAGAGAGAAGTTCATAATCCAAACAAGCGTCTATATTGTGACTGCAGGAATTCTTGAAACGCCTTCATTTAACTTGTATATGCAATACGCACATTTACGGTGTAGGTATAGTTGTATGCATGCGCCTTCATTGACACAGCATCCCAGCATAGAGACCGCAATACCGCAAACTGACACAATCGTGACTGCCGCTCTCTGAGTGTAAGTTGTTTCGGTCATGTGCTGAGAACATCCTAAGTGGCAACATGTGTTGTCAAGATCATGTGAATTAAAGCTAGGAGCCGAAAGTGTAAGGACGCGTTCATGTAAAAAGAGACTATCGATAGTCGATATCATGATATTTAAGAAGGAACTGAAATGTTGTGTGCGCAAGGATTCCCAAAACGCCTTCATTTAGCTTGCATATGCAACACGCTCATCCATCGTGCAGGTTTAGTTGTATGCATGCGCCGTAACTAATCCCTGCGTAGAGACGCAACGAGCGCAAACCACTGAACATTGCGCAAATTTAAGCATCATAATATTTGTTTTCTCATCAAAATTTTATGATTGGTTGAACGAGTAATTTTTAGTTCCTTGTCCTGTCCAGTGATCCAATTTTGGACGCTTAAAAATAAATTGTTTCATTGACATGGGAGCTTTCAGTTTCGGAGGAAACTGAGGTATCAGTCCTTTTGGTTATACAACATTGTACTCTAAAAACGAAAGTTTGTAAATGAGAGCTGACAATAAGGATTAGAAAATAAGATATAAAGTTGATCGCGATATTTTGCTAATTTTTTAATTCTATTTTGTATAAATTAAATTGGTACTTTCTACACTTCAGTTATCAAAACAAACGTTTCATTTTTTTACAAGTCAATAATTTACACATTTCATAAAAATTACGTCTACTTACGTCTACTACAAGTTCGTATACAAAAAGTCAAAATCAGGCTATGTACTTCCGAGAAAGTTTTAAAATAACATCAATCCCTACATAGTCATTTATTTGATTTTGGCACAGGGGAATTTATGCGGATGGTTTCAGAATGACGTCATAGAAATAACCGACCCAGTTAATAGTTGTTCCAATCGAACTGACCTTTGAAGTGCTACTAGTGAAGGAATTGAACAATCATGGCCGCAAAGCGATGGTAAACGTTATCCTTCTGATTCTGGTATTGTCATTTCCTGTTAAAGGCGCAAAGAAAGCCAATAGATCTAACCATATATTGACCTTAACATTTTTAGATTTATTATCATTTAGTGTGTAGGTATTTGTGTAAATGCGTCAATACTTCTGTCAGTATCATTCTGATGAGTGTAGGTATATAAAATTATAAGATTCGCACTTCGTTTTACCATGTAAGTTAGAGTTACATCAATGACGTCATATTGAAATCATCACACAAAATAATTTAATTGTTGAATTCACCATGCACATATTTCGATTGCACGGATCACATTTAAGGGGCTTGGAGGACAAAGCACATAAGTGCAGTTTTTAAAAAAAAATGAGATATTGATGAATTCACATTAAACTGTCAAGTTAAACTTAGTGCATATTCTGTGAAAATTTCGCTCCGAAATTCCAATTTTTAAGCATCAAAAAACCAGTTTGAACTATCTTTCCGCCATAAAGATCCATGTAATTTCGAGACTTCGCACACTCATTTCTCAAAATAGCAAAAATTGCACTTGTGCGCCTTGTCTTCCAAGCCCCTCATTTCGATTGTCTAGCGTCTAATATGTGCAGAGCAAATCCAACAACCAACCAGTGGCGAGGCGTTAGTAATCGATTATCGATACTTCCTCATTTGAAGCTACGGTAAAGAATCGATTATTAAAGTATTCGTTTCGAACACCCTGTTTATCGATCCTGTCCCATAGGTTTAAGCGGCAGATCAATCGATATATCGCACGCCACGCCACCGCAATCGACATTCTTCACCGCTGTTAGTTCTCAGGCTGCGGAGGCGGGAGTCGAGCTATTATCGAACGTCCTCCCGATTCGATTCGATATCCGCAACTGATCTTTGGACATAGAACTCGAGTTGTATTTCGCCTGGCCCCAGGCCCACATCTTGGTCATGGCGTCGAGGGGCTTCTCCACCTTCTCCACCTTGGCCACGGCCGACGTCGTCGGGGGTGGGTCCCTCTTCACGACGCCCGGACTCAGCGTCGCGTTCGGCGCCTTCGCGAAATGGTGGAAATGCGAGGAGTGGGCCCCTGCGTGGTCCCTGGTGTTGAACCTATCGTTCAAGGATTCATTCGGGGCCCTCGACGTTTGTGACCGATCCTTGGTGTTCATGAGGCCCATGGTATTGTAAAAGTGGTCCTTGGTGTTGAAGGAATTCGTGGGGCCTACGGTATTATGGTTGTTTGAGGAAGCGGTAGGGCCCACGGTGTTAGTGTTCGAGAAACCCGTGGGGCCCATGGTTTTGTAATATTGATCCTTGGTGTTTGAAGTCGCGTTTGAGTGAGGGTGTAGGTATGCTAACCGGTTCAAGGTCTCGTTGGGGGCTGTGTGTTTGTAAAAATAGGACCCGTCTCTGGAGTTGGGCGTTAGAGTGAACTTTTGATAGTTTTTGGTGTTCAGGGTTTCGTTTGGGGCCGCGTATTTGGTGAAGTGCCCCGATTGGGCCTCGGACTGATCGTCTTTGGGTTTGGTGCTCGGTTCCGCTTCCGGGATGAGTTTGACGTCGACCACCTCGAAGGTGGGTGGTGTTGTGGTGTTGTTGGCGTCCGTTCCGTTCAAGTCGCCCAGTTTTCGGGTGTGCTCGTATTTGAGCGAGTTGAGGAAGCTGTCGACGATGGAGGGCTGGTGGCCCATGGTTATGTTCGGTGGGCCCTCGCGGTGGAGATAGGCCACCGGCCAGTGGAGCGGACGGTTTGAGGGTTGGTATGGGAAGTAGAAGTTGCTGCACGGCCGCCATTGGGTGCGACTTAGGCTTCCCACGTAGCACCTGCGGGAAGTAGAAAGAGTGGTGATTAAACGGATCGAGTTGAATATTTAGAAACAACTCAAATGTCCAAAAAATGAGTCGGAGGCCATTGGCGGATCCAGAAAATTGGCAACATTGTTTTCCTCCATTTAAACCTATGGAAATGTATCGATTCTAGGAGAGGCCTAGTGCTCTGACAGGAATCGATAATTTAACATAGGTCTAAATGGAGCAAACCCGGTGTTGCCGAATTGCTAGATCCGCTTCTCATGGAGGCTACTTCCAGGAGAAATTACACATCAACAATTTTTGATCTGATTTAACAGGTGAAAACTCAGAATTCACCGTTTCCCAGACGAAGTAACTTAGCTACGTACTTTTCAGCCTGCCAGAACTTCTATCGGCAAGATTTTTTTTTTTACCTGAAAAGTGTAGAGAGTTTTTCACGGATAATTTCACTGATATCTGTTCTGATTGCGCCCGCAAAAAGTAGCAGAATTTTAGACCACAATTTCACATTCTGTTCTTGAAATACATTGAAGTTCGAGATGATTCTGCTGTATTGGATCACTTCAGCTAATTCAAATTGTAATTTATCAGTCAAAGAGTCCATGAGATAAACTTGTAAAAATGAATTAATAAATTACTCTCAGGAGGTGTTGCTACAAAATTACTCCTTCTCTATTTATTAATCGGGCAGTCGACAGGGGAGCGAAGAACACATCCTCTGAACAATTAAATCGCCTTCAACTTCGCTAGTAGGCAACTTGACTTGCAGGAGGCATTGCCACGGCTAAAGTCTGGGCTATTCGAGCGATTGACATTTAAAGCCTCGGTCACTCTCTCCGATTACGGAATACGGAGGAAGGATTTCAGAATTCAAATATTAAAATATAGCACTTTTGAAAAGATCAAAATTTCTGTCATTTTGAAAAGAGCTAGAGCGCTAAAGTGGCCATATTGTACGTGGTATATTTTTTGAAAAAAATAAAACTACTTATTTCTCGTTCCGAGTAATTTAGTACGAAATCCATTTCGTCACCTTCCAGTCAAGATATCACAAGCGAATGCGACGTTTAAAAAGTGCGTCGCCATTTTATTTTTTTACAGAGATATTGTTGGTCGAATCTGTTTGAAAATTTCACTGAATTTCAACGGCACCACAAAGAATTTTCAGTGAAATTTTCGGACAGCTTCTTTGAACAATTTCTCCGTAAAAAATAAAATGGCGGTGGGACTTTTTAAAAGTCGCATGGCGCTTGTGATACCTTGGACGGAAGGTAAGGAAATGGATTTCGCACCAAATTACTCGGAAGGAGAAAGAAGTAGTTTTATTTATTTCAAAAAATACACCATGTATAATATGACCACTTTAGCGCTCTACCTCTTTGATTGACTTGAAATTTTCCTTGACATTTTTCACCTTTGAACGTATCAGCTCAAAAATATAGATATTTCATGACCTCTTTGCCTCCTTCATCCTTACTATCTTTTTTATTCTTCTTCTTTTTTTCCCCACATCATTTATACGTGCATTGTGCATAAAGTTGAAGCTAAAACATTCCCAAGTCGTTTTTTGACCGTCCCGGCTTCTAGGATCACACCATACAATTAAATTTAAAATTAAGATTAAAATTAAATTAACCATACCACGGGTAATTGTATCCTTCGGAATAACCGCAATGATGCCCAGCCCTGCAGCAGTAATCCCAATCTCCGTCATCCACAGGACATGACCAGACCCCAACGTCCAAGTTCTCTGTGCAGAAAGTGCCTGCTTTACACGGCCGACCTGTCACCGTAAATCGCTGCCAAGTACTTTCGCCTCTATCAACTGATAAAAGAAAAAAACAATTTTTTTTAAAGAACATTCATAAGATTATAGTTTTAACTATCTGATTTATCTACTTTTAGACACTTCATTAGTCTTGGTATGCAACAATACAAAGCGACAATGTGATACCGTTGTTATAAGAATTGGAAAAACCAAAGGTCACACTAAATAAAATTTTACTCCTGCAATCTCACAAAATTTCTCTTGACTAGGTTGTAATAATAAAAGGATATATTTTACTTGATTTACACTAATGCAATATTTATTTCGACTATATTTAGATAAATTCAAGAGCAAATATATACAAGTTTTATGGTAAGATGGAAATCTTGGTTTTAACTCAGGAAGTGATAGGTCTATTCCTATTAGCAAGAATAGATATGGTTTTTTTTAAAGTTATATATTTTGGCCATACTTTCGGCCGGCGTTCGACCGAAAATTTTGTTACAACTCTCAATCGAATTTTCAAAAGGCGGCTGAAATCTAATTGTGATGCCCCCTTGAAGTTTTCATCGAACTTTTCGTTCAATTTTGCTTTCACTGTGTTAGTCCGGATCAAACTTCGCTCCTAATGAACTGAGGAGCCTCTCCTCGTTCCAATCAACGCCTCGTTGATTGGAACTTAGAGGGTTGATTATCGAATAGGTTTTAGGAGACATATTTTAATTTAGGGGCTTGGAGGACAAGGCGCATAAGTGCAGTTTTTGCTATTCCAAGAAATACATGTTTTAAGTCTCAAAATTACATGGTGCCTTATGGCGGAAAGGAAGTTCAACCCCACTTTTTGATGTTTTAAAGTTTGGATTTTAGCTGTGAATTTTTCACAGAATATACTTTCAAACTAGTTTTAGTTGAGTTGATGAATATCTCATTTTTCCAAAAACTGCACTTGTGCGCCTTGTCTTCCAAGCTCCTCAATTGAGATTTTCATTCCCGACCTACAATTCCAGAAATTATCTTAACAGAGACTCCGACGAGGAGAGTCAAGATGAGCGGGAAAAGAGCAATGCAGTGCTCGAGTTACGATTCTCTTGTTCGACATGACACATTTCCGGCCTCGTCCAGCGAGCTTCAAACACATCGCTCGGATAACCCATCACCTTTCATTGACACGACCAGTTCACTCATCCGCAGTTGCCTGCTATTAGTATAGTGAATCGCCCATTCTTACTAATACTGTTCAAGTTGGACTGATAGAGCAATTTAATTTTAAACGACATTTCTCTCCTAACAAAGGCTATTTTATTTACTTTTTTGGTCCAGTCTTGACAACGATGCTACATTGTTACCGAGACCAGGATAATTTTTACCACTGAAGTCTGGTTCAGTAAGTACTGCACTGACTGCGCTGGGAAAAAGTTCGGTCATAAGAACTGACTGTTGGGCAGTGGCGTGGACAAGAGAGGGAAGGGAGGTGTCCAGGGAGTCTGGACCCTCCTCAGCCTCGTTAGTTGTACCTTTTTTTTATTTTTGCAGGGCGGACATAAAATTTTATCAGGGACGTACACAAAATAATGTAACTTTACCGTCTCGTTTTTGAATAATGCAGGGTTGAGTTGCTGTTTCTGTCACAATTTTTACCTTTTGGAAGAATCCCCCAGAACTTTCGGCGAATGGAACCCCCCCCCCCTTAAAGAATTCCTAGCTACGCCACTGCCGTTTGGTGTTTTATGTTTTCCGAAGTTTTCGGTTTGTCAAACTGGACGTTTGGTGTTTCATGTCATTCAAACTATAAGGTTTGTCAAACTAAACTTTCTGCTCGCGTTACCAAACTTTTGAGGTTGAATGAACTAATGGAGGAAGTTCTGGTCAACAACCCGTTTGATTATAGGATGATAAGGAACACCGAGCATCCAGTTTTGCTGACCGAACTTTTTTCCGGTGCTAAGTGCAAACTAAGCTGAGGAGTGAAATGCACTCCAAGATTCCCAAGAGTGAAATTTTCGGCGTCAATCGGCAACACGCCCTCGCAATCACTCCCTTGCACAAGCTCGGCGGCGGAGGGCAAGAAAACACCCGGTTATCTAACATCCGTGTCGTGATAGCCCGGACGAGGACAACGAAGAGTACTCACTGTTTATGTAAACGCCGGGGCCGGCGGCCCCCCCGTAGCCGCCGCCGCCGCCGCCCCCTCCGGCGCCGGGGTAGGGGATCTTGCCGGCCGGCGGGACGTAGCAGCGGGCGTCGGTGAAGTCCCAGGAGTGGAGCCAGTAGTGCTCGTCCTTTGCGAAATCCACGTCCGGCCTCAGGTCTCGCAGCTCGATGTCGCTCAGCTCGCAGTTTCCGGACCTGGAACGAGGGGATATAGGTCAGCCGGTGATCGAATGGCTGATCAGGCACTGAGCTTTGGAGACGTAGTAACCTAGACCGTACGCTTTACGTGTCCATCCAAGCATTGGAGAGGAATTTGTTGTAATGGGCTGACTCGGACATGAGGTCACTTTAGGAATGGAGATGTTATGTGTGAGGAATTTGCGATGTGACTGTTGAATCTTATGTTAAAGTTCGCGAGAAACACGATGGTGCCACTGGTTTTCTCTGAAATCAACTCCCAAGCTCAAAAAAAGCTCTCAAGTTTAGGCCAAAATGGATCATATCACACGCTATCCTGAGAGCTCACCTCTACATCAAGACAAACTCTCCATGCAAAGATGGGGAGCAAATATACATTTGCAGGGTTACCGTGTTTTCAGTTTTAGGGTCCCCAACTAAAATGGCAACCCTGCAATTGTATTTGCTCCCTATCTTTGCATGGAGAGTTTGTCTTGATGTAGAGGTGGACTCTCAGGATAGCGTGGGATATCCCCTCCATTTTGGCTTCAACTTGAGAGCTTTTTTTGAGCTTGGGAGTTGATTTCAGAGAAAATCAGTGGGACCATCGTGTTTCTCGCGAACTTTTACATAAGCATCAATAGTCAAATCGCAAATTCCTCACACATGCAACATCTTTATTCTCCAGTGATTAGAGACAAATTGGACCGCGTTAAGCAGAAAGGAACCAAGCCACATCAGCTAATGTCAAAAATTGGGAGATGAATTTTTTACATGAATCTGGTTGTAAGGATTTCGGTGCAAATTTCAGTGAATTTTCTGCGTAGCACGAAGCAAATTCATTGAAAAATTTTAGAGGAATCTGTACCAATGTTCTCTTGTAAAAATTCAAATTTCCCGTTAAATTATTCAACAGCTGATGAGGCTTGGCTCCTTTCTGCTAAACGTGGTACAATTGAAATTTGTATGGAGTCAATGGAGAAGTTCCCCGAAAATTCTATATTGCTTCATATGAAAGTACTTAGAGGTAATTTCACAGTATTTTTTATACTTTTTTCTGGTAAAAGAAATAGTATAAAATAGTTCTAAAAGTGAAAAAATGCTCTGCCTAGTGACGTCATCTGGCGGCAATTCCCCTTAAAACATATGTGATCCAGCAGATTAGATAATTTTGTCATATCTACTCCAATGTTTGTTCAATTTATTAATTAAGTGTATGGTTGTGTTCAGCTCACTCAGTAGTTTCCACTTAAACACGACATTCGTCAAATTGCTGACACCTTCAAATTCCCCATTGCCATGTCTGTGCCGTTCGCTGATCATTTCATCGGCCTGAGGCTTTTCATGAGATTCTTAAGAACCTCTATAAACCATCTATGTACCGGAATTGGACGTATTTCTACCAAACAGACCTATGTGCAGGTGAGAAATATGGGGTGTGCTCTAGAGAGCTGCATAAGAAGCAATGTAAAAGAGGGCGTGATTCCTTTTGAAGAATTGGAAAAGCGGGATTTTACATTCTATCAAAGAGACCTATGTGGCAACTGAATGCGAGATTCATGAGCCGCGGGTATGGCAAGAGAGCGTTGTGGACAGGGCTCACGAGTTAAAGCGCCCCGACAACCATCTCCCTCTCACTCGAGTGCGCACTTTCATTGCCGCTGACGTCACTGGCGCTTTATTATTCCCATTCACTCTTACGGCCAGGGAACTAACGAGCACACCCCATATTTCTCACCTCCACATAGGTCTGTTTGGTAGAATTCCGTCCAATTAGTACTTTCAAAAGTGTGATTTTAGGCAAAAGTATCCACCAAAATTTGTTTAGAACAAACTTTAAAAGTTGAAAATGAAAAATTCATTTTTTCACTTAATTATTTCATGTAAAATTTTTTAGTAAGATACTATGAAGGTCAGTGACGTAATACAAACACAGTAGTAGAATACTTAATCATAAACGTAATCTAAAACGTAATCATAAACGTTCAAATCATAAATCGTAATCATAAACGTTCAAATCATAAATCGTAATCATAAACGTTCAATGTTATTGGAATACCTATAACTCAAGGAGGCACATCTGAATTGTGATTTTTCTCGGACGCGACTGCATTCAGCTTTGCAATCCAGTTCGGAGGGGACTATCAAAGAAGTCTTGACGGCGGCAGGAAGCAGGCGAGCTGGAGTCCCATAGCTAATGTAACATACTGTAAGCAAACAAAATTTATGATTTGTCTGATTCCAATTTATACTTGCTGCTACAATTTTTTTTGTCACTAAAAAATCCGTAATATTTCAGTGGCTGGAGCATTCAGTATTTTTCTTCGCGAGGTGAAGAGCGAATTTTGTTATTTGAAAAATTCTCGTTCTAGTGAAATCTTCTGAGTTCAGTAGAATTATGAAACAAGCGCCAATATTTATATACATCAAAAACTTTAAAGAACATCGTTTTTCTTATTGTTTAGTATGAGTCTATACGTGATGTTTTAACATCGTCATAGTAGTTGGCTTCGTTCCGAGTAAGCTCGCTCAAATGGACCGCGCACAATAGAAAGGATATCGAACCAAGCCACATCAGCTATTGCCAAATCTAACCGGACACTTTAATTTTTTACGCGAAAACATTTGTGTGGATTTCTTTGAAAATTTTAAGAAATGTGCTGGGTACTCGCGAAAAATTTACTGAAATTTGTACAAAAATCCGCACAACCCTTTTCATGTTAAACATGATATTTCTCAGTTACATTTGGCAATAGCTGATGCGGTTCAGTTCCTTTCTGCTTAACTCGGTCCAAATACTGCGGCTCATGAATAAAAAATCGCAAAATCTTTTTACCGTGGATTTCTCACTTTTTATTATAAAAAAATGATCCAAAATAACATTATTCATCGTCCACTTACTTTGATCCGTCGGTCGTGGAATATGCGGCGTTGGCCCATAGGACGAAGGAGGCAGGTAACCACCAAGTCCATAAGTCGGAGGGTTGGGAATAAAACCAGGCGTGGAAAAAATCGTCGGCCTGTCGATAGGCTTTTTGGGGGGCAAGTAAGCAGGAGGGTAGTTTGGAGGAGGATAAGAGCCACCCTTCGGTGGCGGGTACGACGGCCACAGCGGCGGCTTGTGATCTGTCGGGGGTAAGTAAGGGGGACCGGCACCGTCGGGAGGATAATGCCCGCCTCCACCATGGGGAAAACCATGGGGGAAGCCTCCAGGAGGGGGTCCAGCCGCAGGGTAGCCCCCATCCGAGGGCGGGCTGGCCGGCGGGGGGTAGCTGCCGGTCGGGGGGCCGGAGGGTGGTGGGTATCCGCCA